TGGCTTAAACTGAAAAAAAGAACATAAATTCCTACACAACCCACTCACACAATTTTGTTTTCCTTTAGAATTTTAAGAGAGGTTCAGTCTGCACCAGAGGTTAAACCTGTGCACCTGATACTCTTACTTGCAGAAACACCCAAATCCTGCTATTCTACCTCAATGTAAAATGCCTCAAAGATAATGATATCACTTATGGGACAACTAATGCTAATTAAATTAACAGCTACTCAAAATAACTACAAATGTCTCAGCCTGGATTTCACATAACAAACAGACTAACTAAACTTAACAGTCATTCAGTAGAGCAGGACTAGAAATCATGGTCCTCATATCGTTTGTCAACGTTAGTTACTCGGGACTCCTTTATAAGATCGTACTGAGATACTGTCTAAATTGCGATCCCTCCTGTGGATCTGTCGTGTCAGCTTGTGTAATTAATTTTAATAATCAATTATTTTTGCAACTTTAAGAAGGGGCTGAATTGATTGAAGTTCTTATACGCTGTTAGCATTTTTCATTTCATCTCTCAAAATTTTGCGCAAAAAGAATGAAATGAAACACTGCGTAGTCTTCACTATGCAGCTATGTGCATGGCAGTGATTACGATTGCTTGGATTACATTGACTGCTTTCCCTTTTTTCGAACAAAAACTATGTGTAGACGAATGAGGGGAAAGAAAAACGAACAGATATTCACATGCCTGTAAAAAGTGCGCAATAAACACAGCACTTGACCCCATGTTTACTTGCTCTTCTCTAATTTCGTGCTTGCGTCGGACACTTTTGGAAACCAGACTAAAATCTGGATTAGCATGGAGAAATCCAATTCATAAATCTCCCGTATTTAGACATCTGTGTAATTAAAATAGGCTGAAAGTTTCCAATAAAGTATTAGTTTAGACTATAAAACATATAGAATAAATATACGTCTAAGATTAAAGTCATGTTGGGGTAAGGCTGCTCAAGCTTTAATGTATCCACTGGGGCTATTTCAGACTTTGCTCTCAGTTTAAAGGTAGATATTTCAGACTTTGCTCTCAGTTTAAAGGTAGATATTTCAGACTTTGCTCTCAGTTTATAGGTAGAAACGAACTCTCAGATATCTTGCGGTTAGTGAGAGCTGCACTAACATGAGGCAAAGAACAAAAAGTGCATAGTTTAGACTTTTTAATGTTTTTTTCTCTCTCCGTACTATCACGTGGTGCTTTTTTCTTTTTCCGAATTTCAATGTTTACTGACTTTTTGGAGAATTAGACAGTATTTTTCACAGCGGTGTGTTCCTGCTCAGATTACACTTGCATTCATTTCTTCATATTCGACTGGACATTTGAATGAGCAGTTACTTCTTTAAACTGAACCAACAGCAGTTTATAAACCAGGAATGTTTAACAAAGCCACCATGAGCCATGCTATTGCGGCAAATCAGCGTTCCTGTTTTCTTCAGCGAATGTGGCAATTAAAATGAGCCTCCAAGTGTTACTAAATAACTCACTGTTTATGATTAAAAAAAAAATCCTTTCTCTATAAATTGTGTCAGAAATGCCTACTGTAATTATAAAACAAAATGAAACAAACATTCACAGAAATTAAGACATAAGGCATATTTTAATAGCGAATGATTAATTCAAGTATAAAGCTTATCTTAGAGTCTATCAGAGTCTTAGAAACTCTGTTTGATAATGCCACTCTCTTCTCCCTCAACAATAAATCACAAGCCTGAATATTCCTAAATCTGGAAGATAGAGAATTGTTAATAATAATAATAACAATGTGTACGTTTAAAAATAATACTTTAAGACTTTTTAAGCTGTGCTGATTTGTTAGGCCTATGATTCAAGTTAAACAGATGTCTGTAATTTTGACATTAAAAACAGACGTTATTTGATATTTTAAGAGTTTAATAGACACAAAGATACAGACAAAACATACTATTAAACGCATGAAGGATGCACACATGGAGAAACCCACAGAAAATAAAGTGAAACAGACAATAACGTACCTTTTCTTCTCTTTGGATAACTGAGCACAATCACAGTTAGCGCTGTGATTTTTTGACAGAAATAACACTGTCAAACTTCCTAAGTCGACGTAATTCAGAATAGTACATTTTGGGGGATTTTAGGATAAGCACATAAAAGGGGGCGGTTACAATCTGCTGCGCATTCACGTTCATATTCACTCATGCAGCTGCTCTGTTCCACACACGTGCGCACACACTCACAAAATGAGTTGAAGTTATTACATAGATGCAATTTGCTTGTCTCCGTTAATTTTTTTCAATTGAGATATATGCATCTATCTACACTCATGCAAAGTAGGCTACATATTTGAAGGAGAGCTTTACCTGTTTAACAGGTGTTTGATCGTCTTAGAGACTAGAACACATCTTTTACAGACCTTATAACTTGAAATAAGTCAAATGAAACTCGCGGTTCTCAAGACACTTTGATGGTGCATTTAAAGTAGTTTCGCTAGTAGTCACATGCTTGTAGACTGCAGGCAATCAGTGAAATATGCTCCGAAAATAACACTTCAGAATATATTTCATGCATTCTCGCGGTAATTTATAGCAAATCAAAATAATGCACCTCGATACAAGACACACACATTCACTCAGACTTTACAACTGGCAAAAAGACAAACATATTAACGACTTAAAGAATAACAGGCTAATAACAAAACACAATAAATGAAGAGCAGGGCATACTTTGCATCAACTCGCTTGTGAATTACTTTGAGAAAATATTTCAGAAAATATATTTTTAAACAGTGACGCGCTGCCATTACTCGTCTGTAGGCTATTATTAAATAGCCTAGTTGTAGCATTAATATAGACTAACGTGTGGGTAATAGGGGGAAACATTCCTCCACTAAAGTTTGGAAACACATCGTCATGCACTACACGCTGTAGCTTTCCGATGCACCATTAGCCTAATTTGATAATTCATTATTTCTTCTAGGATAGCCTATATAACATCGGAAAGCAACCCCCACTAAACACTCTAATCTTGCTTTATCAGTGGTTTGATGAAGAAGAGAAGCTGCCTGTAGTTAAAGCGACTCCGTGCGGCGTGTGTGTGTCTGTGTGTGTGTGACACTGATGGATGCGCCAATGGTTAGACGGACAGATGCTTGGGCGGATCTAACGGCATGCACACACGAGTGAGTGAGATTGGGCACAAACATCCCGGATCCGTGAAAGACTGCTCTTCCCTTTCAATCCGCAAGTTGCCCCCTTCCGAGGTCTCGATGCTATTCCCTTTGCGTTCAGATGCGAGAGGAGACGGCGAGAGCGCAAGGCGAAGGCGCGGACTTTAGGGTCTGACAACTCACCCGCAGCTAGTAAACACAGAGGAGTTTCAGTTCCCATCTCCCCCTCTCATCCAATACGGACAACTTCGCCCTTTGGCCACTACAAAGAGTTTACACTTGACTCCAATTTACGCTTGCAAAATCGAAAAAGAAAAATATCTCTCTTTATAACACTGTTATTTTTTTTATTATTTTTTTATTTTTTAGTAGGTGACAGCATGATGGACATATCTGGAAAATGTTGATCTTACCGTCTTAAAAAGTCCATTCTGTGAAGAAAGCGTTTGATAACGGATTTTCAGGAGAGAAGGGCATCTGGCGAGCGAGAGGAAGACGCGTCTGCTTCGCCCGCTGCTGTTTTTAAATACCTGCTATGAGCCCCACAAAGAAGGCTAAAAAGTGCTATTAGCGGCCAAGAAAGTGTTTGGCAATAGCTCACTGATCCATGCTCTCGCAGCAGCAGAAGCTGAGGCGCAGCCCGAGTCCATCCCCTCCTTCTGATGTGCGTTGTTACAAGCAGGAATACCCAATCAAACACCTATCGCATCGATTCTCTCAGCGGCTTCCCGACGCGCGCGGACAAAATAAGCAAACGAGGCAGCGCGCGGGCGACAAGTCCGTCCATCTCCTCCTTCAAGCTTTTTGTCTTTACCCCGGTTTGTTTATTATAGAAGAGATGGACGTTTGAAAGGCGGTGGGCACTTGGGGTCGTTGGGATTTTCGCAGAAAGCTATCGGCGACAGCTACGACAGCTTTTTTTTTTTGGCTTTTCAAATCGTAGCCTGTGCGGTTACTCGGACCGGATTGCTCATGGATAACACGTTTATTCAAGCGAACGAGTAAGTAAAGCCCTTTTCCTTCGTGAGCCATTACTAAAGGTGACTGCTGCCTGCCTTGCACGCGTCTTTACGCGTAAACAAAAACATTAACTCAGGTTGTTGATTTGATATACACCTATGTAAGTGTCAGTCATTGCAACTCTACAGTGTTGTGTTCGTGAGCTGCTACTTTTACTATTAGAGTGTATTGGGTTTGGCTGCGGTAGGGAGAAAGGCAGAGAGAGAGAGAGAGAGAGAGAGAGGCATATGCCTACCCACATGACACGAGCTAGCTAACCCATTCGAGATGGAAGGAGTTAATGTGACAGTGCTTGATGTTTGCCTCTGTTTGCCGACTTTGAGTGACGCGATCATTTCGTTTTCCTTTAAGCTTGCCTGTTGCAGCTTCCAGCGCGGAGTGAGAGACTCGCACTGAGGCACGAGCGGTTTTCCTCCCCACTGTAACGGCTCGACTCTCCGTCAAATCCAAAAGACGCGCGGGGGGAAAGAGAAAGAGGAAAGAGGGGGAAATCCCGCTTCGTCTTCATCCTCTTCAGATCTTGCCGTCTGATTTTTGGGTTTGAACACTGCCGATACATGTCAGGCGTGTGAAAGCGCCCCAGGTGCCGTGTATCAGAGCAGAAGCTGAGCAGCTCTCGGGATCTCAGGGGCTCCTGAAAAACCCCCCTGAAAGAGAAACATGCCACGGAGGAAACAGCAAGCGCCCCGGCGCTCTGCAGGTACGGCTCCTCTTCTTCCTCATTTGCTCTTCGTCACCTCTGCATTTTTTTTTTGTATATTTGTTTTGCACTATTTTCATAGTATCACTGAACTCAGAGCAGAAGCTGAGCAGCTCTCGGGATCTCAGGGGCTCCTGAAAAAACCCCCTGAAAGAGAAACATGCCACGGAGGAAACAGCAAGCGCCCCGGCGCTCTGCAGGTACGGCTCCTCTTCTTCCTCATTTGCTCTTCGTCACCTCTGTATTTTTTTTGTATATTTGTTTTGCACTATTTTCATAGTATCACTGAACGTGTGTGTGTGTGTGTACAGGTTTATATATCCTGATGGGGACTTAAAACTGAATACACACAGACTCATGGGGACTGGTGTCACGGTGGGGACCTACATTGAGGTCCCCATGGGTACAAAAGCTTATAAATCATACAGAATTCGTTTTTTGAGAAAGTAAAAATGCAGAAAGTTTCCTGTGAGGGGTAGGGTTGGTATAGGGCAATAGAATATACAGTTTGTACAGTATAAAAACCATTACGCCTGTGGAGAGTCCCCACAAGGATAGCTGACCAGAGATGTGTGTGCGTGTGTGTGTGTGTGTACTGGTTTATATATCCTGGTGGGGACTTAAACCTGACTACACACAGACTCATGGGGACTCGTGTCACGGTGGGGACCTAAATTGTGGTCCCCACGGGTACAAAAGCTTATAAATCACACAGAATTAAGTTTTTTGAAAATCTAAAAATGCAGAGAGTTTCCTGTGAGGTTTAGGTGTAGGGTTGGTGTAGGGCAATGGAATATAGAATATAGAATGGAATACAGACCGTACAGTAGAAAAACCATTACGCCTGTGGAGAGTCCCCACAAGGATAGCTGACCAGACTGTGTGTGTGTGTGTGTGTGTGTGTGTGTGAATGATCTGGAATTATCCACTGCTCCTTTACTTAGCGAAATGACCTGTATACGAAAAAAGTTTTTTTTTTTTTTGGAAAGGTTTTCTTTTGTAGTTTGTAATGCTAGTGTAGAAGAGCGTTTGAGGCCTCATAGTGACATTTCCTTTAAGCACAGTAGTCGACTGGCTGAATAATAATGTTTAACTTTATTCACGTGAATACTGGCTATTCTACTCGCATAGTTTTTGCACTTTGGTCCGTTCCCATGCAGCTGAAGCTGAGTCGATTATAAGTCTTTTTGATTGTTCTCTCTTTTACACCCCTCTCTTTCCTCCTAGGGCGTAGATATTGACTCCATGCATTAGAGATCTATAAAGAAGCGCAGGAAAAAAAAGGGCTTGGGTGGCAGCTGACTCTTTGATGCCGGCCTTGGTTGTTTTTGGCTTTTTTGTGCGAAAACATTTGATCACAAAAAGCCAACTTCTTTTTTTTTTCTTTTTTTTTTTTATCCCTCCTCTCCGTTTCTGGGAAAGACTCAAAGATTATTTTGTAGCCGACTCACGAGGGGTCTAGAAGAGCCTTTAATGGACAATTGCCATCTTTGATTTGACGGCTGATTGATTGCCTGTCATCCGGCTGCTCTTTGATCTATTCATTCCTGATAAACATCAATAAATCACTCTCCATGGCAATGCCACAACCCCGTGACGTCACGTCTGCTCTGACAACCTCCCATTAAAACATCTTTAATTGCTGCTTTTCTATTTTTGTACATAGGCCGGGTACAAGGCCACATTTACTTCCGCTGCTCAAAGGCCACAAATACGAGGAACATGAAAAAAACAGACCGTTTGAATAAGGATAGGCGACATCTAAAACTGTTTTTTTTTTTATGAACTGTCTAAAAATAACGTCATGGGATACCTTATGACATTTTGATTGTTAGTTGACAAATTTGTAACAAGGAAAAATGATGTAGTCAGAGAAACAAAAATAGAAATCTGTCAGCTTAACGGTTACTAACGTCTTTTTAGGCCTACATTGTAGCCACTTTAAAAGTAGTTACTGTTTTGATTAAAAACTGGAATACTTACATCTTGTGATTTTTGAATCCTTGTCTAAACTTTACTGGGAGACACTGGAAGCCTTTGTTTATTCATGGATGAATTACGCACTGTTAGTTTACGATAGACTGCAAAATATTTACCGCTTACACTTTTTCAGGTGAAGATCTTATCTAAATAAAAATAGGCAGACCATTGACAATCAGATTCAACAGTTGCATACAGTTAAATATTTATGCATAAGGCATGTGAATTGTCAAGAACAGATCCGTACTGTTTGATCAACACTGACGCTCTTGCACGCATACAAATATCACTGGAGTACAATGCACTCATGAACGGTCCAATAAAGGGCACACCTACAGTCCTACACACACTTGCATTTGTGGTTTACGGGGACTCTCCATAGGCGTAATGTTTTTTTATACTGTACAAACTGTATTTTCTGTCACCCTAAACCAACCCTACACCTAAACCTACCCCTTACAGAAAACTACTGGCAAATTTTGAATATCATAAAACAGTTTTGTATGTTTTTTAAGCCTTTTGTTTTACGGGGACACATTTGTGTCCTCATAAACCATGCTTATGTTGTAGTACCCATGTCATTATACACATTTGTGTCCTCATAAACCAAATATACACACACATACATACACAAAACTAATAACCTAATCTGGAGACGGAAGAATGGTTTGCTCCATCAGTCTGACCCGTCAAAGCAACTTTGTTTCATATTTGATTTAATTGTCTCTCTTTTGACAGCCACATTCATCAATAGCTCTAATGGTCAATCAGAAGTTGGCAGAGTGAGTGCTCTCATTTTGTCCCCCCCTCTCCTCCTCTCCTCTCCCAATACGATAGGCTTGTGCTTTACTTTATCAAAATGCTTTTGCCTAATGGACGCGCAGAGGTAGAGGGAAGGAAGGAGGAGGGGAACAAGGGTGACTGAGAGGCTTCTCATTTTTAGAAGAGTGAGAGAGAAAAAAATCAGGCATTTATGCCTTTGATGAGCGGATGAAGACAAATACAAGAGCAGGCTGAGAGCCTTTTTTCTCTCTCTTTAGATGAGGCAACTTCCTGTGATTTTTTTTTTTATTTATTTCTTTTTTAACTCCCTCTCTCCTTTCTTCAAACCAATGCCCCTCCCCTTCGTCTCTCCCTCTTCTTCTCACTCCATCCCTCCCCCCCCTCCCAGCAGCCCTCACAGCTGCAAGTTATAAGGTTGACGACTGCACTGTGGCATACAAAGAGTGATGACAAATTGATTGCGCCGTCGTGATGGAAAGAGCAAAGGAAAGATGGCAGATGATGGGCCTTGATTAGGAACTTTGGGAAATCCAGTCCCCTGCAACCTTGAGCTTTGCATGAGAAAATTTCGCCCTCCCTCACATTTTCTGTCTCTCTTTTTCTCGTTCCCTCGTTCTGTCTCTCCCTACCTCCCTCCTCCCACCAAGTCTGGAAGGCCCGCTCAGCCGTAGAAAAAGAAAAGTTGTTTTGCCAGCTTCATTAGTGTTCACCTAATTAGCTGTAAAGCTGATGGATTCCTGACAGGCCTAATGATTGGAGATGACAAGCTCCGCACACTGTCATCCAGCCCAATTAGGTTTGCAGCTAGTTTGATGTAATCAAGTTGATATTACACAGTCCTCCATGCCTTTAGTTGGTGCACTAACTCAATTTGCTGCTGCAGGTGACAAATGAGCCGGGGTACCTGGGTAATCATGTTGGCTGGAATAAAGGGCTTTTAATGGTCAAGAGACTAAGAACAATAAGAGTGGTGAGGTGACAAAACAGAATCAAAAGGCACAGAAAAATTGTGTTGTGGAAGTGCGTCACGGGCTCACGCACACCTTTGTCGTGAATTTTTTTATTTTATTTGTTGTGGGGAAAAATTGCCTGCTCTCCATTTGTTCAGTCTACTCTATCTATCTCTCTTTCTAACAGACAGACACAGCACTACACATCATGTTTTTGTTCACAGGCTACAAAGCTTTTGCCAGACCAAAAAAATCTATTGTTTTGGGGAGTCGAAGAGAACATCAAACTTTTTCCCCCAGCCATCTCTTTGCCCATCTCGTTTTATAATATGAAAGTAAAGCACACCGTGCCCTCAATACCTAAGTGTTGATACTTACAGTTTCCTGGTTAATGTGTCGGTCTCGGCTCTTAGTTTGGTGAAATGTAATCTCTGTACATGCATTTAAACCGAGCGGATTTGATGTATGAAGACAGATAATAATGTTGACATTGGTCATTATGATAGTGTTCATAGCATGTTTAAAGTTAGTTTATCTGCGTTAGAATAAATGCTAACTCTCAGCATTGTGTTTAGAGCGGCTAAATATGATTTGGGTTGTGACGAATTTAACGGAGGCTGCGCTGAGATGGATTGCCGTTGGGGAAAGGAGCCGATTTCTGTGATTTTGTGTGTGTTTGATTGATTGCAGACAGGAAGCAATGATTAATCAAACTCAAAGCCTGTTCTGGCGAGGATGTGGAGCGTTGCATACGTGTGATCATGTGGGGAACACACAAAAAATACGGGGAAAAAAAGGGCTTATAAATACGGTCACATGAACATAATCATCACCCACACGTATGCTTTTATGAAGCACATAGGGTTCGTTATGATTAGTATAGACAAAGTCTCAGAAAGAATATCAAAATAGTTGGCGGTGTGGAAGTTTTCAAGTTTCGTTCTGTTTATCGGTAATGTCTTTTGATTTCTTTGCAAATTAAGAGTTGTCCACTTTGGTTCAAGGTTTTATTTTTTTTTCTTCCCCTGCTGCAATTTAATTACTTAAATTATAATGAAACATCATGGTGACTTGATTATGTTAATTATCCTTATTAAAACCTAGTCATGATAATCATATGCATTATCAAGAAAAAAGAAAATTGTCATGTACACCACTGTCCAGAATTACATTTTCAAATGAATGGATTTTTATTTTTTTTTAGTTTAATATATACGATTATTTAATTCACAAAATGATTAATCAAAAGTTTGCATACTAATGCACACCCAGACGGATATAATTTTAATCTAGATGTTTTGCATGTAATGAGAGTAAAATTTTCAAATCTAACAGATCTAATTAAATATCATCTGCAGCTCTTTAATAGGTATTTGAGTATTTCTGTATCAGTTTTCCTTATCTGACAGCATTATGAATGAACCATTTCGTAATTACTAGATGGTCATTTTAGCAGGAGAGGGAGCAGCTTGTTACTTTGC